ATTGAATTCCGGAGACGAAACATCTTTATCTTCAATAGAGCTTTGTGAAGCTGTCGGAGAACCTTTCGCCGGTTCAGAGAAAGGATTATCCGGAGACAAAACCGGTTCATAATCCAAAAACCCGTCGAAGAAATTGGGTTCCTTCTTCTCCAAGAAAGAAGAAGAAAGATACCTAGAGGCGTTTATTATCAACTTATCTTCATGAATTCTATCTAAATCATCATTAGCTTTGGTTATCTCCGGTTCAGTAGGTAATGGAATCGGTTCGGAATCCACAAACCCATCAAAGAAAACCGGATTGCTCAATAAATACCTCGAAGAGCCTTGAGGAGTGTCACTACTAAAACAACCAGTCGGTGACTTACCACCATCATAGTCACCTTTCTTGCTCTTTTTCTTCGTTACACGTTTTTGCTCACTACTCTCTAGACCTAATCTAGTCTTGAGAGGAGTATGATAAGTAGTAGAAGAAGAAGAAGGTGGATTATGGTTTGGAGATGGTGGAGGAGTGAATCTCCGACCGTCACGTATGATTGGATTATGACGGTCGATGGTACGACCACCGAGCCGGACCGTGGTTGAAGAAGAAGGTTGTATGGTTTGGTCCATGTTTGAACAAATGTTTGTTGTTGATGTTTGAGAGGCACATAACATTTTTTATCTCTCTTTTTTTCTGGTTGTATAAAGTTTAAAATGTGGGTAGTTTCTGTAGTGATATATAAATTAATAATGTATATTTTAGGTTACTGTTAAAGATATTTTTATTTTGGTTGATTGATGGAATCGACTTTAGAAAAAGATGTATTTTTATTCGGATTCTTTATCAAAACCAATGCGTGAGAATGTTAGGTAGTAGACTTACAAAACCGTGTGGAATAATTTTGATACCAAATATAAATAAATAAAAATCCAACTATTTTTAGCCATTCCTTATTGATAATTTCGAATCTAATTCTCACAAACACCAAACTCAAAAAAATTTAAGAATCTGATGCTTTTGGGGGTTTATTGACGAATTTATTCCTCTTCGCTTTCACTAATCACACCTTTTCTCTTCGTCTTACGACGTTCTTTAATAAAGCCCACATAATACATAAATTGGGCTTTAAACGGCCCATTATATTGGTCAGAAACAATTTTAAGGGTTTTTGATTCACAAAGGCATCGTATAAATTGTCTCCTTCCTCCAAAATTAGGGTTCGCGACTCTCGGAGCCAGAAGACGAGGAAGTAGCGGCACAGAAGATTCAACACCCAGGAAGCTCACGATGGGTATGACGAAGAATAGATCTTTATAGAATCGTCCTTGATTTTCAATTGCGT